CCGGGGGATGGCGGAGCAGGAGATGGTGACTCGGGCGGCAATGGGCCGCCCCCAAACGGCGGAGGACCTCCACCTCCCTCAGGTCCACCACCAGACCCGCCCCACGACTCCCACTGGTTTCGCTCGAAAGGCATTTTCCCGCAGCGTGGGCTTGATTATCTCCGCAGCCTCACCGCCGAGCAACGGGATGATCACTTCAAGCTGGGCGTTCGCACCATATGCCGCATACCTGGGTGTGTCCGGGAATCGCTAAGGATGGTGGTGGACACTACCGAGAAGTACGTGAAGGACGAAGAGGACTCGGATGTCGGCTGCCTGATAGCCATTTTCGTGCCGACTATGCTGCTCTTCCCGATGAATCGCGGCGGAGACGGCGGCCACCGCAAATGGCGTGCTCGCTTCAAGCGGTTCTGGGCTGGAGAGTGGCAAGGATTGCTCGACGAGTCTAGGAATTTTGCTGAACAGGGTCGCCACGTATTCGCTCCACGCGGCGATGGACCGGTGGACGGCGTGTCTGAGCCATCCCTGGAGGAAATAGAGAGATTTGTGAGACAGGGAGAGCTGTCGCGTGCGGCGAGGCGGCTGACGGCCGCCAAGGTCGCTCCGGCGACAGCGGCAACGCTCCAGCAGCTCAAGGAACTACACCCGGCAGCCCCGCTCCCTAGAAAGCCGCAGACCCAGAACAGCCCAGATGAGCCGGCCGTCCCTCTCACGGTCCCGCCCAGAGTTCTACTAGCTGCCCTCAAGACGGCGCCGCGAGGCTCCGCAGCCGGCCCTACGGGATGGCGGTATGAGCATCTTCGTGCCTGCATGGGAGAGGGTGACGCCTCGGCAGAAGACGGGGCCGTCCCTCTACCCTCCTTTGTCAACCGGATGCTTGCTGGGAACATGCCGGACAGCTGCACCACGACTCTCTCGGCGGCCCGCCTTTCGCTCTGATGAAGGACAACGGTGGTGTCCGGCCGATTGCTGTGGGTGATGTGCTTCGGAGATGGGTGACGAAGGCAGTCTGTATGGAGGACAAGCTGGCCTTTGAGGACGACTTCGCGCCTCTACAGTTTGCGGTTGGCACGTCGGCAGGCGGAGAGAAGATTTTCCGGGCCTGTCAGACCTACATGGAGACACGCCGCGATGACTCCGATAGACGGGTTTTGGTGACTTTGGATTGCAAGAACGCCTTCAACAGCATCGACCGACAGGCGATCCTCGACGCGCTCGGCACAAAGTGGCCGTTCTACGGTACCCCGGCCGAACTATGGTATCGGATGGAGGACGGACGCACAGAGACCATCCTCAGTCAGGAGGGCACTCAGCAAGGCGACGCGGCGGGCCCTTTCCTCTTCTGCCTGGGCCTCCATCCCGCCCTCGTCAAGCTGCAAGAGGAGTTCCCCGACGCCTTCGTTAGTGCGTTCATGGATGACATCGATGGTGGACTGGACGAGACACGTGTCACGGGGTATGTGGACAGAGCCGAGCAGCTTCTGGCCGAGAAGAAGTTGCGGCTGCGGAGAGACAAGAGCGCTGCATGGAGCCCCCGCTGGCAACAAGACTCCGACATCCCGGCGGACATCGCTGCTTCCGGCGTCAAGTGCTCCACTGATGGCATCACTGTCCTCGGCTGCCCGCTTGGCGGCAACTCTTTCATCCAGCATAGCCTCGAGAAGATCACCAACGGCCACCAACCGCTGCTCGACGCAATCGTGACTTTTGCTCAGAAGGGATTACAGGGCTCAGGCCTACTTCTCCGCTATTGTGCATCCCCCCGGCTGAACTATTGGCTGCGCCTCCTCCCCCCAGAATCCGATGTCTCCCTGGCAGCCGCCGAGCGACATGACGCCGCCATTATCAGGGCATTCAGGCGCATGTTCCGCTTTCCCGGCGACTTCCCCGACTCGGTTTCCGCACAAGTGCAGCTACCCATCCGGCTGGGAGGGTTTGGCCTTGTCTCCGCATCCACGATTGCCCGTGCTGCTTTTCTGGGCTCGATCGGTGTGACGGCTTTTGACGTCTCTAGCCGGTTCCGAGGAGCACCGTGGATGCCTCAGGGTGGGCCCGCTGCTCTTTTGGATTGCCATGGCTTCGACCGGCAGTCCCCGCCCTCGCTGCCATCTCTGAGGTGGTCGGCCCCTCCTTCTCCCTCCCCTCCCTCCAAGACTTTCTCTCGAGACCGCAGGTTCGGCTACAGCAGCGCCTGACCGATCAACTGCACAAGTTCCGCTTCAACGAGCTCTTCAACTCCCTCCCCCCCGACAGCAGAGCCCGCGCCCGTCTTCTGAGCTGCCAAGGGCCTCTTTCGTCTGGT